CCCTTTCCCATAGTAAGACGGTAACTGAACATCAAACATCTTATGGTTCAACTCTTTCTTGAGGGTGTTGAGCGAGAAATATGTCGTTCGAGTGATAAAAATCCCCGCAGTGAACAATCCTGCCATCGAACATAGATGAATGAGAATTTTTTAAACATTCTTTCGAGTTACTCAATTATAACAGTGACGTAACTAACGGAAATGATACGAACTGGGAGCACCGGAGGTTTAGATAAAATGTTTCCGTGAATATTCTAAACGGTCGGAACAGGGGTTACACAGTTTTGGACGAGTTCATGGCTCTTCCTGTTTCATGAAGAGTTGCTTGAAAACCACATAATCACTGCTGTTGAATTCAGTGTTCAAGCACCGTCTATGGCACTTTAAAAGCGTTAAAAACGCTTTTTTCCCCTAATTTTCTTGCTTGGATGTATGAAAATTTTGCGAACTTTCAACTCATCAGTGAATTTCCGGCAAGCGCTATCTTATTGTGAAATGAATAAACGCCGTTATGCTGGTGTAACATTTCATGGCAATTGTCTAGATATCATCCACGCCAATCCTACAATGATCGATCATTCGACAAATTGAATCAGAGTGAGGTTGTCAATGATACTATAAAAGGTAAAAGATAAAACTCTCGGCGTTGATCAATCCCTGAGAGATGTGCCATGCACTCGACTTCATTAGGTATCGTTGGAGGTGAATGAATGCAGATGTGGCTTTTATAATAACTCGTGGTGGCCTAACGATGTATCGAGCCAGTACTGCTATCCTCCCAGACAAGTCTGGAACCAACTTGCCGATCCCGGAGAGATGGAAGGCTTGGTGAGGGCATGGGCGCGCGATCGATTCCACGTGGGTGTTACAGTGGCGCCTCCAACCACTGCCCCACATGTGCTCCTAAATGACACTATTGAAGAGGAAATTATTTAAGGCATAAAACATATGCAGCGTGAGACATCATGAACATGTCCTTCAAATGGTGTGGATCCATCGTCTTAAACTTCGTCGGTATTTTCTTGTATTTATGAGCTTACGGGAGATTTTTAATAAGCATACTTAGTTGTGGCTAAGGTCTCGGACCTTTTACCTTTCTGAGATCCACAATGCATTGGAGTTCGATGTTCGCAGCGATTGTTTTCTAATCTTTTTTTCTTTATCTTCTTTTGTTATTCTATGTTCCCTTCTTTGTTTTGCTGTTTCCTGTTGTTTTTCTTTTTTGTTTTCTCTTTCTTCTTCTCATTTCTTGTTTCTCGTTTATTGTCTTTTTTTCGAAAATGTTTCTCCTCAGTCATTCGTCCTCCCATTATGGAAACGGACGAACGACTTTGGACCATCGATGCGGAGCATCGCCTCTGAATAAGACGAAGACGTCGAAACATTGGCCGAATAAAAGTCGTGTAACCTGAGCAATCCAAACAAATTCGTTGGTTATTCACGCCAAGGTTAAGTGTAAGTCGGTTCAGTAAAATACTATCCCCAGCAACCCTTGTTTGCTGCCTAATGTGGCATGCATTATGCAGGGTATGATGTGAAAAACAATCATAGGGTATGATGTGAGATACACCCACAATGCCAGCCGTGAAAAATTGTAGCAGGCGTCAAATAAAGGGTTGACATTGTGGTTTCGACTACAGCCTCAGCTTAATTGGGTTCGATGCCGATTTGTGCTCCCCAGATCAATCCCGCCGACGGGTGATTGCTGATGGCAGCGTTAGGTGCAAATCTAGCTGAGAGAAACTCAAAGCAAAGGCTTCCGTGGCGCAGTGTGTAATACGAGAACCCACGGAAAGGATAATCGTGGTTCGATCTGCCGCGAGGTTCAAGTTTTACGAATATCTTAGCATGATTGTGGTTAAATCTCACTATCCCCAGTGTTTTCAGTAGATGGAAAAGGAGGACAGAGGAGCGAGTGACAGAAATTTCACTGACCGTCTACACCATGCTTCATTGTTTTCGTTTCTACCTGTTAATGATCACGGGTGTTGCGAAATGAAATGGTAGTTAATGATAGTTGACGATTAGGTCTCATTTGTTCCCACAACATTCACATATGAGAAATAACAACGACAAATATGAAGTTCTTTGTACTAAAAACAATAGTAAGATTGAAAAATTCTTTCTACTTCTGTTCAGCAATACTTCGCAATAGCAAGAATAGCAATAAACTGAAAAGAAAGAGGAGTCCGCTAACACGCTCAGGGCGAAGAGCACATCCTCGCTTTCAATCTGTGTTTAACCCTCTGCTTTTCCTTTTGGGATGAGACGAACCGAATAGCCTTTCGCGTCGTGCTTGATACCTCTCAATGACTGAAATCCATGGGAAGCAATGAGATTAGTGGTAACGTTGGTAAGGATAAGGGCAACAATAGTAAGACTAAGAATAGTGCCCGACTAGGATATGCGGAGCTTAATTAGTCAAATGTGATCAGCAACAAATTACTGTCACAAGTGCCAATCCGTTATCCAGTATCGATCCATTGATATCGGAACAATAAGCTAAACAATCAGAACACTCAAATTCAATTGTCTCCGTCGATGTTATTGAATTGCTAAACAATGCAGCGACGTCGAGAAATCTCACAATTACGCCCACTTGTTGTCTGTGTTTGGTCAGAGCTCGAATTCGAACAACGCATGTCATGGTGATATCAGTCAGTAAGTCAGTCAGTCGAGTCGTATCCATTCACCAACATGTCGGTCTCTCTCTACACTGAGCTCCAGCTGTTTCTTGCTCATTTCGCATTGATAGCGAGGTTAGAGGGTCGGTAAATTTTGCTCTATTCATAGGCGACGTGAAAGGCAACCAGTCTATGTTGACAGATCTAGTCTGATTCCGATTCGTTGAGAACAACTGTTTCCCCAGTATTCTTCATTATCAAGCTCTAAACCCTAGATGAGGGTTTTTGAGCAGATTATGGATTCTCTCGTGAACCATCACGTATTTTTCTGTTTTGCTCGTCGTTTTCTATAAGTCGTACGAATTTGGAGCACCACAAATGACTTATCTATGGTGTAATATCTTCCATTAGTTTATTGTAGGTTGAAATTATCAAATCATCTATAACGTGTACAGGAGTGGCTTCTTCTGTGATTTATCATTTATTTATCTTTACTATTTGTTTTCTGAAGTTTACAATTTTCGTTTACATTTGTCTACTGGACTTTGTATATGTTCATATATTTTTCATGATCTCTACCACCACTGCTCATTACCTCTCCGTGCTATTTTTTTTTATCCCAGAGCTATCTTTTTTTAATAACCTCGCTGTTGAACGAATCTCTTCAAGCCAACACATGTAAATCGTCCATTCGATCTTCATTGTCTAGAAAACCGTGACGACCTAGCTAAGATTTTTATCCAGTCATTCATATTTCCGTTCTTATCGGCTTTATTCGTTAACCAGCAACACTGTTATTTGCAGATATATATGACTTAAATTTATATTCTTTCACTGATAAGCTGACATGAGATGATAAAGAAGATGATGACTTTACTTCTTTGTGCTGCTCTAAATGAACAATTTCCATTGATTGTTAAAGGTGCTATGCCTTGTAGATTTTTTGAATATCAGGTGATAATTGTTCATTTATGTATAACTAGCGGCCATGAAGCAATTGAGACCTTTAGGTTGTTAGATTCCAGTTTTGCACTCTTCAATTCTTAAAGCCCTAGAGATTAGACAATAGGATATAAATCACATCCACTGAATCGGCTACTGAAAGGGCAACGACGACGACGCGTCGGGTACAAAGGACCAATTGATTTCGGCGACTTGATGTATGTATGTTTCGTGGAATGGAGAGTGTTTTCGTCGACGTTTCGCATGCAGTTCCTGCTCACTGACGCCTTGAGTATTGAAAATATCACGAATACGTGCACGACGGAGGTCCGATCCATGAAACTACTTCACCATAAGGTACAATAATCGATCAGTCACAAAGTCCGTAGTGCTATAGAAATATCGTCATCTGCTTCATTTTGTGCTTGTTCGACAAGTGGTACTCAAAAGTAGAACGCGGACACCGAACGCCAAAATTTTGCAGAGAAGTGAAATTTTGGGCGGAATCACGAAGATATTAGTGATCCTTAAAGAAGACCTGTGATTTTTTCTGGTAGGCGTGTAATTAAGAAAGTTGTTAAGAACCTTAGCACAATGGTAATTTGTATAAAATCCGTACTGTTTTTGAGAAGTACACAACCGGCAGTGGCAAGCCAATTCTTTGAATTAGTTCTCCAATGTCATGCAACGTTTATAGCACCGCTGGCTTTGTCCCATCAAATACAACACCTCCGTATTTTTCGAATTTCTCAAAAACACTCACATGCAGGCGCGTATGACGCAGCGACTAGAGGTGCCCTACAATACACACGTGATCGTGGTTCAATCTCGCTCTCTCCAAGTCTTCCATCTCTCCGAGGTTAGAAAATTCGTACCAGACTTCTTTGGTTAAGGAGGGTAGCAGAACTGACTTGGTACATTGGTAGACCATCACAAGTGATTGTAGAGGGCAGATGTGCTCTCAGAGACCTCTAACCATGCTTGAGGAAGCTTAATGCGTGGCACATTGCTCAGAAATTGATCAACGCCCAATGTTCTGATTTAGAGAAGAAAACCTTCACACTAGAATAACATGGGCTAAATTTTCAAATTTTTTGAATGAAGAGAAATTTCCAAATACTTAATGGGGACGCAAGTAACTGAATAGAAATAACTACGAAGATGCCGCGATATGAGCAAACCTCAGAACCTCAGTAGGGCTTCGAACCCGCGATTACCCACCACCAGGGCTTTATGTTCTGCCTACTACTCCAACCAATCTTTGATTTGCCTTTTTCTCTGTAAATTTTTACTGTAATGGTGCAATCAGTATAAACAGAAACAAGTGAAACTCTACTGATGCATAGTGTCTTGAACATTACGCAAGTGGTACGTGTCATTGATGAGATCGCGGAGTGATCTCTCACCACTCAACAATGGGCGATCTTCAAGCGAATGCCACGGGGCACCGACAGCTACCAGTGCGATGTGATCGCTCAGATTGAACTCCAACTGAGTGGCAACGTGACATCGTCATCACTTTGGAGTTACGAACAGGTGTCGTCGAGGCTGTTAGTCGCTCGTCGGTCGCCGCCGCCACCTTGTCAGAAACCTCATCAACCTCAAGGTCGTTCGCTATCGTTCTCACTCGTTTCGTTTTCGTTATGATTACAACATGTTTACTTATTGGTTTAATATGTGTTCTTTCATTGATGAGCTTGTCATATAACTATCTTAACCCTTTTATTTACTGCCTTTTTCTTTTTTAACGGCAGAGTATGTTGCGAAATATGAGTCGTATATAATGCTGAGATATTTGCAAAACTCCGGAGCGCAGGTGTATGCGGTGGGGAACGAACGCACGCTATTGTCCTTACCGGGGAGTAGCGCACTTCACCACCACACCATCCGGGTCCTTCGTTTTGCATGTCTCTCAGCTATCTCAGCATTATATACGTGTCATATAACTTTTATTCGGCTAATGTCTCGACATCGTCGTTCTCACGGCCGGATCGATCCAAGTTGATGGTCCATAGTGGTTCGTTTTCTCGATGTGGTGTCCTCATCGTTGTATCGATTTGTGTTATTATTGTTATTTTTTATGTTGCTATGTTTATTTTATTGTTTTTATGTTTATGTTTTTGTTATCGTCATTATGTTTGTTATCGTTCTGTTTGTCTGTTATTTGTTCAATCTTTTCAAATTTTATCTTTTTGCTTTTAACTTGCCGAAGCTTGTTCTACATGCTACTATTCTTTTGAGTTTAAGTCGATTTTCACTTGTGTTTCTGGTAGTACTGATATTTTTCAGTTGCACATCCGTTGACGTTTTTGCGATGGTCTGTCTTCACTGTTTGTATAGGCCACAGCAAAATTTCCACTTTTCGGAGTTTTGCTAGCCTAGCCACTGTGCTTCTCTGGAGTGCATCCCAGCTAAAGTCTGCCCCAAGTCTTCACCACGCTGGCCAGTCGCGGCTTGTCTCTCTTTGCAGAATGTGTCGTTTTCTTGTTCAGCAATCGCGAGGTTTTCAAACAGCATACATTTACTTCCATAGAAAAACACAGTACAATAGAACACTAGCTGACGTTTCGGCAGTATCGCCTTCTTCAGAGCCGCTTTTTTCGTGACTTCCAATGGGGAAGTTTAGAACAGCTGATTATAGTCGCGATTGCTCGCGATTGCTGAACAAGAAAACCACGTATTCATATCCCAATGCCGAGGTTAATAGAAAGTCGATCCTGAAAATCTCTTAGCAGAGTCAGATATGGAACCAGATGCTGATCAACAAAAAAGATCATGAAGTTTCTACTTTTGTAATGGTATGCCATCCGCATGTGGAACAATTATCAGCCAAGAAATCCATCTTGCGAGTTCCTGAGTACCATTGTGCAGGAAAGAATAGAAAAATAAGAAAATGACCAATGAATACTTTATCCGTATGTCTTGTTGTCTGTACAACAGAAACAACAGAGACGATTGCTTATTGAGTTTCCTTCCAGTAGAATTGTTTTCTTTCTCACATAGACGTTAATTATTCTTTTAAACGGCTTTAAATAGAATTTCTAAAATGCATACGATGTGTGAAAAACCTTCCCAACGGTTTGCCGCCTCATCGTAGCTGAGAAGTGTTCTTGGGTGTCGGGCTGCGATGTACAATGGGAGGATTCAACCCTTGGCATGGTCTGGCAAACTGGGAAGGAGTCCGGCGTTTCCTTCAGGAACCCTTGCTAAGAGTAAACCGATACCAGGATCAACCACCGTCCTAGTATCAAATTAGTCGTATGGTGGCAAATCTCCCTCTGATCCACAAGGGCTGCGACCCCTGTGGTGGTGGCGACGTGGGGCAAACTTTGGCCAGACTGACCTCGGGATTCCAGGGAACCGCAATGGCTTAACCAGCAAATCTCCTAATAGTGGAGATTATGCCGGAGCCCGCACAACCAGTGAAGACGGGCCATTCTAGTATTCAAGTAAGTATGATGGTGAGGCGACGAAGTTAATCGTTTTTATGACTTTGTCGGTCACCTTTTCACCGTTTTAGGTATTTTTCTTTTCTTTCTTATCGTCGTTTGCATTAGTTTCAACATAAACAGGAATTTTTCCTTATTGCGGCTAAATTTCGCCTAATTTTCACAGTTTCGACTTTTCTAAACTCTGAAAAACGCATTATTTATGTATGGGATAGAAGAGGAGCCTTCAGCGAAATTCCTGAGCCGGCCTCACTCAGAGGAATGAGTCATTAAAAGTTTACCTGGAAATTTATTGATGTGAATGCTTTATGTTTTCTCAAGTTTTAGTTTTCTTCTCTTCCTTCTTTCTTCCTTTTCTGGTTTTACAAATTTTTTTACCCAACTGCTCCTTTCAAGTGCAACTTTGTCTCGTTCGTCAATTGTCTAACGGAAGGCAATTATTCACTTTTTTATCGGCTTGTTTCTGTGTCTCCAAGTTAATCCAGTGGGAATTTAGTGGCTGTCTCGATAATCCAAAAAAGAATATTTGAGAAACTCTCCTCTCTTGTTGTCTGCTATTTCTCAAAGACTCTATTTCACACCATCTTGAAAAAAGCAGTAAGTATTCACAGGTTTTCATCATCACCCCTTTTTCATTCTATCATTATCGTTATCAAATATTTGCCTTTGAGAGAAAGACAAGCGAATTCCTAGAAGAACTGACAGCGGACGCTAGCATTTGCAATGTTAACATTTAACTGACTCTGTGTATTGATATCAATGCATATTCTCTTCGATTACTGATTTTGCCGCGGATTTCATTCACTATACCTTTTGCATTCAGTCGATCGCTTATCTAACACAGATGTTGCGCCAAACTCGTTCCATGAAAATCTGTTTCCTATTCTTAATGATCTGCGAAGAAAGTCTTTTTTCGGACGAGTTTACCAGTGCACTCCACACACTGTGAAGTATTAGCGTAGTCACAGGCTGCTGACGCATAAAATGGAACTCAGTTATGTTGTTTTGCATAAATAAATCATGATAATATATATATATATATATATATATATATATCTACCGTGTTTCCCTTGAACAGACACCACCAGAGTCAGCGTTCGTCTCGGTTACACGGCAGAGCCACCTGGGTTCATTCTCTCGTGACGGAGTTATGGGGAGCATCACACTTTGCATATGATATCTTTACGTTTCATAATTTTGCCGGCAGGACATCTAGGATTTGATCACTAAACTATACCATGGCTGTTAAGTATACCTAGTGTTTCTTCAATAGTAGACTTTGAAAAAATTCGTCGAAGTCTCCAAAGCAACGCGTTTGCTTTCCTTATTCGTTCCATTGCTTGCATTTGTCTTAATCAACGTTCAGAATATAATCTGCATGAATATTGTCATGCTTATTGGGCAGGTATAAGTTGTTCTAACACAGAAAAGATACCTATTTCCTGGAGCCACCTGTATCTTGATATATACTAACTAGGTCGCTTTTGGTCCTCGCTTATTCCTTTATTCGTCACCTAGGGACACGACACCTACCGCAGGAGAACTACACAAATCTCATGCATAAGAGCGCTAGGAGCTTTTTATTTGGCAGTCGGACAAAACCCATGCAGAGCGGTAGGTTTGTGCACGATAACTAACCTTGCATTGATTTGCCCGTAGCTGAGATTCTGCCTAGAAATCTCGAACTATTCGTCAAACTTTTTGAATAACTTTGCCAGAGGATAGCCCTGCTAAACTTCTTGAGCTACTTTGCCGGAGGATAGCCCTGGCAGCACATCGCTGTTCTACACGCACAAATAGTCGCCACCTTATTAAGGCGATAATCCATTGGGGTTGGTGGGTACACACCTCAAAATTTGGCGGAATTACTGAACTGGGCTGGCTCGCATGAACAGTACCCTTCGTAAAGTTAAGTTCTACATCTATCTCTTGTCGATATGGATTCTACAGATGCTAACCAATGTATTCATATTTTCACTCAACCGCTCAATAGTAGAGCAACTCATTTCGAAGATTTCAGTGAGCTTATGGACTCTTTTTTGGAAAGAAAACGCAGCAATCGAATGAATGAAAACTTACTGATTTATAGTATCAGGAACGTCTGAACAAGCATCTTGATAAAACAGGAATCATTATGAGAAGTTATGAGCAGTTCATCAATGCTGCCCTGACCTGCTGAGTGCCGCGTTAAACCCGTCGACCCCACCCATCCACCGACCGAGCCTCCGGTGCTTCACGAAGGTCACATTGATCCCGCGCTCGCTCTCTGTTCCTAATGCCACTCAGCGCTCCGTTATTGGATATGTTTGTACTGGAAACAGACAGCGTGACCTCTCTACCACCTCTGAAATACGGAAACAAATAACGAATACGACGATGAAGATGGCGACGACGGTGACGACGGTGATCATGGACATATCAGACATCGACAATCGCCGGTCATCATCGCTCTTCTCATTGTCTGTTCATTATTTTTTCACTGTGTGCTCTCTTTTTCTTCTCTCATCATTCCCTGAGATTCATCACGTCTTGATCTGATCAAAATGATCTTTTTTCCATTGATTTTCGCTCCATGGTTTCTGTCCTCTTAGTGCTATCACTTACGTCATACTGAAATGCAATGTCGCTTCCGGCTCTCGTGGTGTTCTTCGTTCTGACTTAACTCTTCCTATGTCACTCAGCTTCTTTTTTCTACAACATTTCTCTGAGATCATATTTCATCATCGTGAATTTATGCTTCGTCATTCTGCAATTTATTTCTATCGTTGTCTTCTTTTTTCTTACTTTCGTTTTCTACTCTTCTTACATTATACTCATCCATCACGCTCATTTTCGCACATATCCACATATCGCTTTCGCTCGAGCTTGTCATGTTTCCTCTCCACTCCTAACTCTCATGTCTGCGTTTACTTAGCTTTTACTCCTTGTATTATTCAGCTTCATATCGTTTGTCGTCCTAAAGAAGATTCTTTATCGTTAGCACCACCGATAGATACGTGTTCCGTCTCCAAGAATCTTAGCCGTTACCTCGAAAGGTTTGTTCTTTCCTATCTACCCCTTTTTACACCATTCATTCTGGTTTTTTCTCACATTTTCAGACACTATTACTGTTTGGTAGAGTTATTTTTCATAGTATTTATTATTCCTACTTCTACTTTACATTTGGTCCGTGCTCAGTCTCTATGAAGCAAGGACTTCCACGTTCAAATTTTTCCGCCCTTCTACTTACCTCTTTCAATCTTTATTCATTTCGTTTTCCCATATTTCCAACATCAGTTACTATAAAGTAAAACTGTTTTCATAACTACGGCTATTCAGTTCTATACTTTAGCATTTGTTATGATTTAGTATATAATTCATATTGTCGAAATTTTCAATCTATTTTATATTTGATATCGATCGGTATGGATTGAGTCGATTTTGTCTGGCGAAGTGTCAGTTACTACTATCCATTCGCTTTATTTTCCGTGTTGTTCGCCATCGCTACAGGTGTCTTGTTTTTTGTTTATTTTTCATTCTTTTTCATTATTCGTTATAACGAATGTCGAAGGTCTAGCAATCTCTGGGTTCACTTCATTACTGCTCATTTATTTTCCCCGTGACTTTGATAACTAGTATTTTAAATAGTTTCACATCTACGTTTGAACTTTCATCTACTGCCTATTCTTTTTTCATGACAGGTTACGATGTGAAGTACAACCAAGAAACTTATCTGATGTTCCGAGTTTTGCTCATATCTCAGCACCCTCTGTGGTTTCACATCTGTTTACTTCTATCGGCTTGTTTTATTCTCTACTTTTTCGTTTTTCTTTCTTATTTTTTCTCCTCATTCATTCATTCATTCACTTTTTTTGTAGTTGCCAGCTGTCCGCTATGCAGAACTTCCTAGCATCGTCACGCTTTTCCAAGTTGATCATGTGATATTGCTCTTATCAGCGATTCTTTTTCCCACCATTTCTTTATGTATCGATCTTATTCCTTAGAAATACTACTACTACTACTACTACTTCTAGTGTGATGAAAATATAACTAATTTGAATGAGATATCATTCGCCATTCATTCTTTATCTTCTTTCTGTCACTTACGTTCAAATCCTTCTGTATGAATTTGGACGGACGAAAAAAGAGAATGAGTAGGAACATGGAAGAAAGATTGAAGAACATTGTGTTTTCAGCTCTGTCGGCCCATCAGTGAAGAATATGCTTTTGAGAGCTTCATAATTTATGGATACGAGACAACGTCGGACGACGACGACGACAACGACTGCGGACGTGGAAGCGGACCGACGACGATGCAGTTTGTGAGTGCCAGTCCTTCTTGATCTTCCTTCCCATACGATTTATGTTTTCTTATTGTTCCGTACCATCCATATTCCTATGTATTATCGCAATGCATGATTTTTATCGTTGTTACTTGATTAGTACTGCTATCATCCTCATTATTACCCTCTTTATTAATGTCTCGGTCTCTTGACACTCTTGCTCTATCACAGTATTGTTATTATTACTATCATTGGTAAAAAGCTAACTAAAAAACCCAAACTAAAATTAAGAAGCCCTAAATTGAAATCATTAAGTAACATCTGTTACTAGTACTTTTTTAATTATTTTATTTCATTCCTGTCGTCTTTATTCTGACTTTCGTTATTTTTTTTCCTGTTTTAAAATGCGCGTGTGGCGCAGTGGTTGGATGCGCCCTGCAACATACACATGGGATCAATCCCCGCGCACGTGGTTCACTAAGCCTTCCATCCCTCCGAGGTCGGTAAATTGGTACCGGATTTGTCTGGGAGGATAGCAACATTGGCTCGATGCATCGGTAGGCCACCGTGAGTGATTGTAAAGGCCAGATATGCATTCATTCACTTCCAACGATGCTTATTGAAGTCGAATGCATGGCACATCTCTCATGGATTGATCAACACCACGAGCTTTATCCTTTTACTGTTTGAAATAATTTTTTTGACCAATTAGCTCTTTTATCAGTGGATATGGTCATATTTTTTGATTCCGTTAAAATTGAGTTCAAATAACGTTCATAACGTTCTATGTTGCTTATTGATTGATTTCGTTAGAATCTTGATTCTTCCTTTCAATCTAATGGATTAAAAGCTGATAGAACATTTAAAAGAAACGATTTATGACCATTTTTCAGAAAAAATATCTACCATTTTTGTGAATTCTTTTTTTTCAGTGCAGACTTTTCTTGCCTTTTCTTCTGCTCCATCCCATAGACGGTAGCTTTACATTGTTCAATTCCCAATGGAAAACTTGAAATAACTATTATCATTAGCTGTCTGAAGTTTATAGGAGCATTTTCTTGTGCTTCATTAACTCTTTCCTCTACCCTTATAAATGAACTCAAATGATCTATAAGATAAAGACCGAAAATCAATATTTAATTCTGAAAAACTCCTTCTTTTAAACGACTACTACTGTAATATCGAGTTAGAAACCTATTTCTGCTTTGCCTTGAGCTCTACCGTAACAGTCGAGTTGTGCAGAGTAATTTTTTCTTGAAATTTCTCTAGGTTTTGGTCCACTAACATTAATGAAGCCCCTGCAGTTGAATGCTTTTTTTTTCGTTTTCAGATCGTCTAAGTTCCTTAAGGAAAAGATTTGCATAGTTTTTATTTAAGGTGGTTAATGAAAATTTAAGTGACTTTTTTCAACATTAATAAATTGGTAGATGTGTTTACTATGATTAATTGAATAATTAGAATGCTACAGTAATATCTTTCAATAGTTATTTTCCTGGGAGCGTAGGGTGCTGTACTTGTTCTCCGGCCACCATCCACCTCACCAGTATGTGTGGTTCCGAAGTGTCTGGAGTAGATTTTTTTCCTACGAGAACGCCTTCTCTTCATTTCCGGCGCATCCGCTTCTTCTGAGAGCAATCAAGTTGACTCGGACGAATTCTTCTCCGTCTAGTCGCCTATCTGGGTGATTCGCATTCCTCGGCGATTCTCCAAAGTGAACGATGTACGACCAACTTCATTGTGGAGTTTTTCTTTTTAAAAATACGTTTAAGCGGTCTGACAGTTCTTCACCTTTTTATATCAGAAATAGTTCGTTTTTTTTTTTGCATGGTGAATCGTAAAGCATTAGGATAGCTAGTAAGCATTGATAAATTGGGTATAAGTTAGTTATGTTGCGTCTGTTACTGTGGAACGTGGTAAGCTTTTAAGATAGTAATCTTTTGCATGGGAAAAGAAGCCAACGGTTTAATCGTAGTGACGATGAATGGCAGGAAGTCATTGATGATTGAGAAATGGCCAGTTGTTTCTGGATTTCCAATCGCAATCCAGAATACTTTCAAGGTGTCTTTGATTGAGTTCTATTCATCATCCGTAAGAATACTACGCTACTTCGTACGATAATGTTCATCACTAACTTTTTTCTATGAATTCCAAATACTGCTATTTCTCGAAATTGCTTTTCGCAGTAAACACTAACTTTTATTATAAAGTGCACTCTTTTCCCTACTACAGCAATTTATGGGTTTCCCATATGAGTTAAACGTGATAATATGAATATGAAAATATGAAGACATGATGTTCCTACAGGCATACATGCATACACACATATATATCATGCATGCTCACACTCATACAGCTCACGTATATTTCACACTCATGGGAGGACATTATATGCATCTATGTACGTATTATATATATATATATATATATATATATAGTTTTAAGAAGACATCCATATATACTTATACGCACATACGCATAATTTGCATAGATATACATATGTGTAAATCCGTGAACATACACACACACATAAACACATGCGTGAATACACACATCCGCGCAGAGGCACATCCATACGATCGTACACGTGTATTGACGTGCGTACAAGTGCTCATATGCACACAACACACATACTTATATACATGCCGACATACACACACACACACGATATACATCAAGGAGTTTTCGAATATTAAGCATCTACAGACGTTATCATTTGTAATAGTGTTCAAGATGCCTTCACAAAGTGTTTAAATCTATTTCTAATGCATTCGAAACGATAACTAGCTAAAGTTTATGACTAGGCTTAAATCTAGAGCCAAATCTAAAGCTTAGCTTAGGCAGAAAACTAAAGCTAGGCCGAAACTTATAACAAACCGCTGTCAGATAAACAAGACTGCTAAGCCATGGAAACTGATTCGGCTTCGACTCATATAGTCAAGTAGTAAAACGAACAGAGCTGTTCTTCTGAAATGTGTCACCTCAACATTAATGTGTACAATTTCAGGATACTACCGATATTTCCTAGAATCAACAATTTTCCATTTATATTTATATGGACTTTATTATTTTGTGGATTTGGTGCGACGAAATCGGACGTTGCGGTGAGTGTGTTTCCTTGTTTTTAAGATAATTTTGCTCTGTTCTACTTCATATATGTGTGGTTTACCTAGTTTAATTGGGTTATCAGTGTATTGTTACCGTTGTAAATGTAACTTGTTACTTACTTGAATACTCGATTTGCCCGCCATTGAAATTCAAATTTTATTGGTAATCTATAGTTGGGCAAAATTTCCTCTTTCTAGTCTCAAGAGCGCCGTAATAGCGCCTTCCCCTACCTTTTCATCAAGATTAGTTGCAAACCCATTTTGGATCGGAGGGAAGTTTAATACTTTGAGACGAGGTTGCTACCAGAGCGATAGTGATTACTAAGTTGGGACACCCAGGTTGGAAATGAGCCCCCGTTGCATATCTCAGTTGAATTTGCAGGAGCACCTACTGGCCTCCTATTTGTATTTAACTGTTAACATATCATCTGTGGTGAACTGCAACTGTTTCGTTTCAAAATCTGTGATATTTAAAGGGCTTAGAAGTTGCATTATTAAAGTGTTCTTGAGTGTTGAATTGTCTTATAACAATGGAAGATTCATATAGTCGCAGCAGTGCTAAGCTTAGATTCTTTCAAAAGAGCTGGTGGTTTACTGGAGATTTGGAACTGAGGAAGACCAAGAATAGCTATCAGAAGGCTCAAGAGGAAGAATCATTTCTTACAGATGCATAGCACATGAGTGACAAAATTTCCAGAGCTCACATGGTTCTTCCTGAACCTGAGCCACCCACTTATCAAAATATACATAAACTTGATTAAAAGCGTGTCTTTCATAATTACTTAGTTGGATTTCCCATTCTCCTTAAAAAAATTAGTCGTTCCAGCCGAAAATAGAAAGAAAAAACCACACCCTTGGAACCGTTTAACTTCATCTCATTATTTCTTAAAATATTTTGTAACATTGTAAAATTTTTTCCGTTATAATTCATCCCATCAAGTGTCATTTTTTATTCTTGCTTCTCAATTTCGGCCTTCGTAATGTCTCTTTCATTCGTATTATCACACAAATAAGGATAATAGTAAAAGATAAAGCTTTCGGAGTTTATCAATACGTGACAGGTGAGCTATGTATTCGACTTCATCAAGCATCGTTGGAAGTGATTGAATGCATATCTGCCTTTAACAATTAACAATAAAAAAACAACAAAAATTAACGCGGCAGTCTACCGATGTATCGAGCCAGCGCTGCCATCTTCCCAGACAGGAATGGTAACAATTGACGACCCTGGAGGGATGGAAGGCTTGGCGGGCTACTGGCGTGGTGATCGATCCCATTGTGTGCATGCCGCAGTGCACCTCCGACCACTGCGCCGCACGCGCTTGCGGTCACACAAGTTAGAATAAGCAAATGGGATGGAGAAACAGCATATCAAAGTTTTCCAAGTGTATTTTCTGTTTCAACTTAAACAGAATCGGATTTTGGCGGCAAGTTTGAGCAGAGTTTTGCTTTATGTCCTCAAAATTTTTTTAAAAACATTTTTTCATTCACATTTTTTTTACTCCTACGTCTAACGTTTTTCGTTGAAATTTTGCTTTCCATTTTCCGTGATTGCCTTCTGTCTTATTGTAAGCGGAAAATCGAAACAATCAAAAAGAGATTCATACAAAAACCTTTTTCAATCTTGGCACAAAATTATCTATGCATGAAGAATCGCGCTTCAAAGAAAAACTATCTCAAATACTTATGTGGACCTCTGTTTGGTTTCCTTTTTACAATATTATTGAACCTTGCAGTATATCCTCTATGTAGCTCTTAATTCCACAGACCTGACATATGTTAGAATTTTTTAGAGCCTAAAAAAATTTCTAAGGAACTTTCTCAACTTATAGAATAACTTCTCTGGATGTCTATTCCTTTTTTCAGGAAGGCTTAGGTAGCCCAACTAGTTCGTTAGCCTCAAATCTCCGAAAAAGCTACACAAACGACTGGGCGGTGCGCATTGCTGACGGTTCTGATGATGAAGCTGAACGGTTGGCGACCAAGTACGGGTACCAGAACTTGGGTCGAGTACGTCTATTCACTTACTCTGTCCTCTTTATCATTGTATTAAATGCTACGGCTTAGCATCGATAGAGCAGTCTCTGACGTGGTGAACTCACATTTCCTGGTTCGATCACACCCTACACTTCGTTTTTTACTTTAATTGTAATGCGCGCTACGAAATCTGTCAACTTTCCATTAGCTGCTCTGTCAGGATAGATTTATTGGAAATGTTTTACTATGATGGCGAATTGAATATGAAGGCGATGACGAAGAACAACTAATTATTATGAGTGTTAACATTGAACCTCCCAACGGTTGCAACTTGACAAATAGTCGTCTTTTCTTCTTATTGACATACGAACGCATATCGAACATGCTTTCTTTCTGGAATCTCAAGACAGACCTGCTAAGACGTGCGGGATTCCACAATGTGCGATCACTGGTCGGTATGGATCAGAGGGAGATTATCCGCCTAATGACCAGGATTCTTTGTAGGGTTGCAGCGAATCTTGCAATTAACCGACCGATGAATCGAGCAGGATGTAATAATTTCAATCACTTTACTTCCTATCTTGGCTATGTGTTATTTATCAATTCACATCCATCATTTTATCAACACATTGGTTTTCAACCTAAACATGCCAAAGATCTCAAGGATTTCAATAGGTGGTTTCTGCGACGTCTAACGCGCAAGCGTCATGTCTTGCAAATCTGCTTCATTTTTTAAAGTACCTGCTATAAAGGTCGTTAGTGATTGAATGGGTATAACGACTGACATATTTTAGGCCTAAGATGCTTTAACTATCTTAACTATACGATAGTGGCTACAGGGCTACAGTACGCAAATCTAGATAGCACCGATCGCAAGCCACCCTTGTTCGATCGGCTGTGTTTGCGACGAAATTCGATTTTCACCTCCAACCTAATCGTCTACGGCTCCGTCGCCGCTCGGCCCAGCATATCCCAGGAATTCATGCAGAGATGCAAATCGCGCCGTCCAGAGACCAGCGGGCCCATAATCTGACCGCAATCATATGCGGAGCCATTTGAATTCCCATGACCGACTTTCTTTTAACCTCGGCATTGATTGATAATTCGATGGTTTTCTTCAATAAGCAGAAACGAGGTTGTTATTATAGGATTTATTAGGATACAATAGCTGACGTTTCAGCGGTTTCGCCTTCATTTAAATTCTACCGAATACTCGGAAGTTTTCGAATTTCCGCTCGTTTCTTGAAAACCGCGTTGGTTCTACAATTTGCCTTGAGACTCATATATGAAGTTGAACTTCAATCTATATGGCTTTTGTAAAGTCAGGTAAAATTAGTAACGGGCATATTGAGAGAGTCCAAACTGAAATGAAGAGAAATTAAAACCATAAAATAAGGGAAAAAACTTAGAAACATTATTATGTCTATGGTGTATGGAAGTTGAAATATGTAGGGAAATTCATTGAAAACGATTTGATCAAACACTGTGCTCTCTGCGATTTTATCCTAAAGTCATAGTAATGTCCGATTTTTGGGCACATGAGGAATTTTTTTCTAAGGAATAGTTTTTTCTTTCTGACGATTTTAATCTGTTTTCTTTCGTTTTCAGATCATTCCGGGTGAAGATTATTTTTTGTTTCGTAACGTCAATCAACGAACTCGCTCATCTAGAAAATCGAGAAGTCTGCAGCTGAAGCGAATTTCTCATGAACCTGAGGTTCTTATCGATTCTATGGAGTATTTTAATGTTTTAACAGTAACAACAACAACAACAACGCTATGGCATTTTTTTCCTATTCCTACCATAATAGCGGTGTTGTGGGCAAAAATTCGTCCCTCATCCAATTAGTCGACAGCACGAATTTCAGAAATTCGATTAGAAGAAAGCTCCAGCTTTTTGTTTTGGTTCCAGTGCAACACAGCGCTTCTCGACAAAATTCAATAAAGAAGCACTACAAGGGATATTTATTTACTGAAGTTTCAATTCTGGTAAAGAAACAACTAGCAGGGAACTAACGAAATCCACATAGGTGATCGGTGTTTTATTTTGGTTTTTTCGGGTAAAGAAAAGGATAGGAGATAAAGCTCTTGGCGTTGATCAGTGCCAGAGTGATGGGCCACGCATTCGGCTTCATTAAGCATCGCCGGAGGTGATTGAATGTAAATCTGGCCTATGCAATGACTTGTGGTGGCCTACCGATGTATCGAACCAGTGCTGCTATCCTCCCAGACAAGTGCAGTACCAATTTGCCGACGCTGGAAGGATGGAGGCCTTGGTGAGCCTTGGGCGCGGGGATCGATCCCATGTGTATTGTAGGGCACTTCCGGCCACTACACCACACCGCTCTTTTTTCTCGATAAGTAGCTGATTTACATCGACCAGAATAGTGAATTATTTAAAGGTGCCTTGGGCGCGTAGATCACACTAATAGGGCGCGATTACAGCGCGTCGGCGCTGAGTTTCACGTGCACTTTTCAATTAACACATGAGAACTTTGAATTTTTCACCAAAGTATTGTTGAGGTTACTGTACTTGCTGGGTTAATTATCATAATTTTTACCTGTTTGTGATGGAATTGAATAGAATTAACAGCTAAGATATAACTAGTGCACCGCGAACACCTACGTTCCGGATTTGACTAGTCAGGCATTAATCGTGTTGTTGACACCATAAAGGACATGTTGATGATGAGCGTGAAGAACTCAATTAGACGTCACAACGAAGGAGCTGATGAGATAATGAATGCACTCAAATCATGATGACCGTAATCGTCGTTTCTTTCAGATTTTATGGTTGGAACAACAGGTGGCTAAGAAACGCGTGAAGAGGGATGGTGATCGGCACCGACAACGACACGGTCGACCGACGAACGTGTGGCATATTTCAGTTGGAGAAGGCTTTTTAAATTCTTATACAACAAATAAAAAACTTCGTGTTCATTGCCTACTTTTCATCTCTTTTGTATCCTGGAGTTCCTATTGAGCAGACAAATTAGCCCACTGTTGAGAAGATCTTACATGTAAGTAAGTAATATCGAATGAGAGACAGGTAAAACAAGGGACCCGGATAATGTGGTGGTGAACGCGTTAGCCCCCGGAAAGGGTAGCAGCACGTTCATTCTCCACCGCAGACACCTACGTTCCGGATTTTTGCAAATATTTCAGCATCATTGTGGTTATTATCGAATGTACTGTTTCTATGGGAGATCGCCATTATGCCTAAAATTTTCATTTCCTTTGAATGATCAATTAAAATTCTTTCAATTTAAATAAAAGTAGAGAGCTAGCTATAAAGTATAACTAAACGCATGTATTAAAGGACTGGGCAACTCCTACCACTTTATCGTTAATCCTCACTTGGCTTATGATTTTTTCCTGTAAATATGAAAAAAGCGATCCCTTCTTTTTTCGATCAATAAAAAAGGAGAATAAACGTCATCCGTACTATTAACGACAAACATTTAGAAGATGACATATCCGGAACGTTGGACGCAGGGGTCTGCTGTGGTATGGTCCCGAAACAAATATTGATTTCGAGAATCGGAAGCTCTTCCCACTTAAGCTATTATAGCTAACCCTACAGTATTACAGCATATCTATGCACGAAGTAGGGAAATACTGCTTACACTTCCCTGGTTGTCCTGGCTGGTTGTTGATCAGATTGCTTAAGAGTGGCCACCATCGTTCTATCGGGACGTTTCGTGAATTTAGTTTGACGGCTTATGCAATAACTGACCTTCCGAATTTTTGTCTACTTGAGCATTTTTTCCAAGGAAATATCAAACTAAACCCTTTTCTTGTAGTTTCACAACTTTCACTAAAACATCCGGAATTCTGGTCTTTCTACCGGTGTTTATTTCGTTGTTACAATACATCTCATTTTTGTTGTAAGTATATCAATTTCTTGGCGTCAATATTCCTATATAACTTCTAGAAATGAAATATTCTCCATCCGGATCTTTTACTGAAATTTTTGATTCCATATGAAATCTGTTATCCGAACTGACCCTCTTTTCAGGAGAACGATATCACATTCGGTGAGGATGATATGCTTGTGAGTAAGTCACGAAATCGTAAACAACCCGATCCTAACGACCCACTCTGGACCGACATGTGGTATTTAGTCAGTTTTCCCAGCTATTATACGCTTATGTGCTCACATAATCGACTCTTTCAATGGCATATTGAAGCTTTTTTCCCTATGTGTGTCTGTGTGTATTATAGAATCGGGCCGAAATCACGGGTAACTCGAAAATGGACCACAACGTGAAAGAGGCATGGGATCTTGGTTATACTGGTCGTGGTGTAGTGGTAACGATTCTCGACGATGGCCTCGAAAGAACACATCCCGACATCGCGCCCAACTATGTGAGTTTATCGGGGAAAAAAAAACCAGAAACATGGTAGTCTGTTTCCGGATGAGTAGCAACACCATCTCCGAAAGAATAATATGCGGATTTATTAATGGTGTAAAGGATAAAACGTTAAAGCTCTTGACGTTGATCAATTCCTGAGGGATGAGCGATGCATTCGACTTCAATAAACATCGCTAGAGGTGACTGAATGCATATCTGGCCTTTACAATGACTCGCGGTGGCCTACCGATGTATCGAGCCAGTGCTGCTATTCTCGCAGACAAGTTTGGTACCAACTTGCCGACCCCGGAGAGATAGAAGGTTTGGTGAGCTAGCGCCGCAGGGATCGACCGCGTTTGTGTATTCCAAGGCGCCTCCGGCCACTGCGCCACACTCGCCGCTTCTTAATGGTACAATATACAATAATTCATCTTTGCAAAGCTATCTATTCCTTCACTGTGATTTGAAAATGGCTCTTTAGTGTTTCAAATTGTGGTAATCGTTCATTAATGATGAATTCTGTGCACTGGACAGATAAAGCAGAATCCTCAAAAATTAACTGCCTGGATAAGAAATAATTGATAGCATGTGGAGTTAGGAAAGTAAAAAGAGAGCTTGGCAAGCGCAGAAACAGAAAATAAACTAAAATGTCATCGTTTCTGACATCACTATTTGTTATTCTGATGTTTAAAGCTTATTGGCACATATCGGCGCGTACGAAAGATATTGTCATGGGCTTATTGATTAAAAAGTGGTGCCAATCGATATCCATGTTCTTTGTTAGTGATGTCATGTGTGTGAATACTGTGAAAACTTGTGTGGTACTGTATATGCGGTTTACTCGTTTACTTATCTGTACATTTTCTAATTTGAGGATGCTCGTGCGTCATACGATGTTAATGATCGTGACGATGATCCAATGCCACGCTATGAGTACTCGGATGAAAATCGACACGGGACTCGATGTGCTGGAGAAGTGGCTGCTATCTTCAATAACAGTCTATGCATTGTCGGAATTGCGTACAATGCTAGAATAGGAGGTAGGAATAAACTTTTACAAGAAACCGCTCAAAAATGTTCGTAGACGTGGAAAAAATGTTCATAGCGTGGAAAAAATCAGCTATTGTGCAATTACACACAATGTCCAGTGCGTGGGGACACGTTGCGGTTAGGCTAGAACGCTTTCTTCATGCGAGAAATCTAACCAACGGTAAAAGGAAGCATGACATGGAAATGTTCAATAATTTATTATATTATGTGACGAGGAATTAATAGTTTTAGGATTTATGTAATGCTTGCGGATTTAAGGGTTAACGTTTGGAAATTCTCTTTAGTAAATTGGTAAAAGGAATATACATATGAAACGAAGATGTGCAAGAACTGTGAAGACGTTGTTGCTAAACAGAAATATTATGATGCGAATAAAAGAATAGTACTGAGGACAGAGAAGCAGAATATAAAATTTATGGAATAAAACTTAATGAATGCCATTCAGGCATCCGAATGCTCGACGGGGACGTGACGGATGCTGTCGAAGCCGCTTCACTTGGACATAATTCCGACTACATCGATATCTATAGGTAGAAGAGAACCTTGATTTGATAAATAAGAAGGAAATAGCGAGTACTTCTCAGTAATTTACGGTTTCATAAGGAACTATAAATTAAGGCACCTTCGTGTAGGATTTCGCGCTTTCCGATCAAAATAGATCTATTGCATTGGATTCATTTAATCTGATTCGGAAGCTTTCAGTGCTTCCTGGGGTCCCGATGACGACGGAAGGACAGTAGACGGTCCCGCTAAGCTGACTAGAGCTGCTTTTGAGCGTGGAATTCGCGAAGGTAGACGAGGCAAGGGTTCAGTTTTTGTGTGGGCGTCTGGTAACGGCGGCAAGGATGCCGATTCGTGCAATTGCGACGGTTATACTAACAGGTAAATTTTCTTAATGTAAAAGAAAGCTACACCAATAAAGAAAATAACGAATAGAGGTTTAGTGAAGTAGTTACTTTGCTGGAGCAGGCTACTTGTAAACCTTTTTTCGTCCATTCAGCATCTACACACTCTCGATCTCAGCCGCTACCGAGAATGGAAACATACCGTGGTATTCGGAAGCATGCAGCAGCACATTAGCGAGTACATATTCAAGTGGTGCCACCGGTGAGAAGATGATCGTCACCACCGATCTACATCATGCCTGCACCAACACGCATACGGGAACGTCGGCTAGCGCACCGTTGGCGGCCGGTATCGTTGCACTGACGTTGGAGGCGAATCCTGATCTTACCTGGAGGGATCTACAGGTACGTTTCGCTCAGAGTGTTGTCGATCAAGGATAAAGTTGAAAGCATTCCACGTTGATTAAACCCTAAGGGTTGCGTTATGCATTCGACTTTCTGAGGCATCGTAGAGGGAGTTGCATATATATTTGGTCTGTACAGTGCCTTACTCTAGTGATATATCATGTCATTGTTTTTATCCTCCCAGACTTGTCTGTTACTAATTTGTGGAGCCCAGATGAATGTAGGACTTGCTGAGCCGTGGACGTGTAGTCAGACTAACAAAGGGTTCTGTGTATTGCAGGACATATCTAACCACTTTGCCGATACAGCTGTGAAATTTGGGAGCTTGAGGTTTCAAAGAATGAGAACTTTTTAAATAGTTGTGGAATTTATGGCGACAGATGGCATATCATACGGAATTTCATGCAGTGAAAGAAGTCTTACTATCGTATCTTCGGCCCGCCCTCTTGAGTAGCGTAATCGTTCTGGATCCATCGGGTTCCTCATTTTGCTCGTTTTAATTTCAGTGGACTTAAGTAAGCCTTTGTTCGTGTTCTAACAGTATAAATTTACGAAGGTAATTCATTTGGAACCTTTCAAGTATGAAAAGTATTGCTATGCCTTTTAGTGGATGAATAGTGAAAAAAAAATGGCTCACAGGGTCATAGGATTAGCTAACCAAAGCGCTTGTTAGCGGCTCATGCCTGTTAGGTCAGTTGTGTATCAGATTTCTGTTTCAGCACATCGTCATTCGAGCAGCAAAACCAATAAACCTTCGTGCTGGCGACTGGATAATGAACGGTGTCGGTCGTAACGTATCGCATTCATTCGGTTATGGCCTGATGGATGCTGGTGCAATGGTACAACTAGCTAGAAACTGGACAACTGCTCCTGAGCAACACAAATGCCGACAGTACTATCCAAGTAGATTTAAGTGAGTGCTTGAGTGAGCAGTTGTGCTGACTGAAAGAAAATGATGGTGTTCCTTATAGGGAATTTGTGGTAATTTTGCAGAAGTTGTATTAAATTCACAAAAACTGTGAGAACGAACGATTATCAACTTTTGGAATTCCAAAAAATCTTGGGAAAGGGACATTTGTTGTAGGTTTCTAAATATTTGTAGACAACTTCTTTTCTAAAGACTGACGACAGTTTCCGACCTGTAGTTTACTTAATCATTAAGTGGGCCTCCGTGGTGCAGCGTGTAACGCGCGTGCCCCCGGGAAAGGCAATCGTGGTTCGATTTGGCCAGGGGTTCAAGTTTTGCGAATATCTCAGCATCATTGTGGTTGCATTTCATGTCATACCCTGCTGTGAAAAATTATAGAAGACAGAAAACAAAAGGTTAACATTAATCAATAATTATTAAGAGAACCAGAAAAGTCGTCTATGTTTCTTAAGTTTTATTATCAGTACTGGAGTTGGAATTTAAGTGCTAACTGATAAGAACAAGCGAAGGAAGAAAGAAAGAATGAGTAAAAAAGAGCCCTTAAGAGCAATATTTTGTTATAAAAATTTGACGTGACCAAAAAAGCGTCTCACTGATTATTTTTGTTCCACTTTGAAGTTTTCCTTTACCGTATCTCTAAATTATAGATTTTCACTCGCTATACAAAAAGTAGAAAAATAAGGGCATCTGCCTTAATACATAAAAGATAGCAGGATTAAGTGCTTGGTATTGATCATTCCCACGGCATTTCATCATGCATTCAACTCCTTTCGTAACATCGTAAAGATGCATATTTTGCCTATATAATGACTTTCTGGAGTCTATCGATGTGCCATGTGAATACTTTTACCCTCGCAAACAAGTCTAATATCAATTTGATGACGTTGCATGAATAGAACGTTTGGTTATCGGTGTGTAGGATCGGACCAAGAACACCTGTGTAGTGCAGGACAGCCTCTAACCACCACACGTGCTCCCAGAGAACCTTTCATAGATGTGAATAATAAATCTAAAATATTACTGAAATAAATTTGCTACTTAATGTTAACTTTTTTTACTGCCTACTACAATTTTCACGGCAGAGTTAGCTACTCAAAGTTCATTAGCGACTGTGGAATAGAATTGAGTTCATTCTATACCGGAGCGCATGATTATCTACGATTAGTGACTTCTTAACTTGTTATATGGTTTCAGAACAATTCCGCACGGAAATCGTCTCCAACTGCAGTTGTACACTGATGGATGTGCTGGATCACCGGACGAGCAAGTTGTCTATTTGGAACACGTACAAGCCATCATCACACTGAAAGCACCAAAACGTGGTGATATTCAAATCTACTTGACGAGTCCTTCAGGTATGAGTGATAGAATTCCTCTTTAAAAGTGCTATGTTAAGTTTGAAAGTACCCTTTACCTAACATACTTGAATATATTGGTGATTGTTCGTTACTCCTGAATCCTGTAGACTGTGCACAATTTTCAATAAAGCAGTTTTTGACCGTTGGAGGGTCTCTGTTTGCATAGAGGTCTTAAAAGCATCTGTCCTAACTAACTGAAAGACTGACTCATAAGCACGACTCCATTTCAACGCAGTTTCTGCGCAGATATTGAGAAATGGAGCCTTCCTAGTTTAACTGGATTTGCTGTCGGATGCGTTAAAGTCCTCCTCAATCTTAAATCAACTTCTGTGATAACGAATAAACAGCTGTACATTGATTGCCAGAAACATTTTCCTGGTAAGAAGATGAGCACGGAAATTCCTAAAATAGATTGAAAACTAATTGTTTTATCTTCTCAAATGTTCAAAGTTAATGTTTCGCTCTAGTCGATCTCCACTAACCCTTAACATCAAAACTAAAATATAAATTTTATTGTCGCAATCAATGATTCCGGGTTTTTGGCAACTAGAAGAATTTCAGTCCTAGTACTGATACGGAAAAATCATCTAAAGTTCTCAAATCGCATGATTTATAGATTAGCTGGATCTGAATGGATATGGTCCATAATTTTTCTCACTGTCTTGAACGATTTTCGATCATTCGGTTGTTATTTGATTGTTTCGTATGGCATATCACCATTCTAAATTCATATTCATCATTAATCTGTTATAACATTACTTGTTGAAAAGATTGCATACACAGGAACACGGTCAACGTTACTGACAAAACGCGCCAGGGATACGAGTCGAGCCGGCTTCATTGAATGGGCATTCATGACCACTCATAGTTGGGGTGAATTTGCTACCGGACTCTGGACGCTCGAAGTCGATAACGATGGGTGGGACGGTGAGTGATGGAGTCAGAAAAAGTTCATACCCATCATACCGTACTGCTGTTATAAGCCGATTGTCTCGTGGACATAACATTAAGCATGACGTAGGATTGCCAAGTTAATCTAATCAGCTCGAAATTCGATGCTTGTTAAAAGCGGACGTTGTTATATGATCATTTTTCCAGAGGAATAGAACTAAATCCATCCGGGAAAATGTTTTTGCGGTTTATTTTTTGATTACTTGCATTCAGACTATGTGTGTTTTTATTTATTAAACAATAATTCTCATTGTCCTCCCAACGGTTTACCGCCTCATCTTGGGTGAGAGATGTTCCTGGGTGTCGGGCTGCGTTGTGCAGCGGGAGGATTCATTTTCCCAGCAGGGTCTCCCAAGCCGAGAATGAGTTCGGCATTTTCATCACGAAGCCAGCTAAAAGTACAGGAGTGATATCCTAGTCGATTCACATTTGCATTTTTTACGATGTATTCTAACTGCTGAGAAAAAAGCAAAGGGTAGTCAGCGGTTAGAAGCTGGCCCGGAGTTCCGAGTTTTTGCAAATATCTCAGCATCACTGTGGTTGCATTTCACTTAATACCTTGCCATGAAAAAATAAGGCAGAGGCAATAAGAAGTTAAACATTAGTAAGAAAAATGTTTGAAATGGGCTTGTCGATAGTCTTCAGTTTCTGAACAAATATCTGCGTCTATAGTAATTTCTGGTGATAAAACTGGCCAAATACGAATTTAATTAGGATACGAAAGAGATGACAGAAAAATACAGTGTTAAGTAGATTTTCCTATGCTCACAATTGTTAATTCTTCTCAAGATCTTATTATTTATGTTTGAAGTTTCGAGGTTTTAACAGTGTTTTTTATGTTGGCGTATGTGGCGCAGTGATTAGAAGCGTGCTACGGTATGCACGTGACATAGGTTCGATCTCGAATGACCAGGTCCTTCATTACTACGAGATCAGTAAATTGGTACCAGATCTGTTTGCGAGAATAAAAACACTGACTTGGCACACCATTTTCTGTAATCCTTTGTAAAAGCCAGACATGCATTGAATTCCTTTTACACTAGTAGGAATGGAGTCGAATGCGTAGCGTACTAATTGATCAACTTAATGTTTTGCTTTTATTTATCAGATGGAAAACGTCAACCATAGCTGTAATAGCTGTTTAGTAGCTATAATTTTTAAATAAAAATCGATAGGTGGTTTGAACACCTTGCTCTTACAGTGGGCCAAACGTTAATAAATGAAGTAATTAAATGAATATGGATAAGATTCAGATGCCGAACTGGTAAAGTGGGATTTGGTGATGTTCGGCACCGTCGACGAAACGACACAGTACGGTGGTGGACGAAACTCTGCACTTACGGCTCGCTCCGTAGCGCAAATGGAACACATTCGTGCCGGTGTGGGTAGTACAACACCATCGTCACCGATGGATCTGCTTCGTTCGCTTTTTCTACCGATGCTAATTCTTCTGCTTCGATTATAATAATGTTAGTCATATGATGTGTATGTGTATATGTGTAGGTGTATGTGCATGTGTATGTATGTGTGTATGTGTATGTGTTGCATTGTAGTTCTGGTGGCCTTACAATTCTTTCATATTGATTCTTTTTATGCCGACAGTAATTGACAAAGTTCAATCAAACACTGTGCTACTCTTCGATTTCTATTCACGGTTTCTCTCTGTGGTTTTATTTTCTATTGATCTCTTAAATGAAAGTAAGCGAACATTCCGCACACCGCGAAGCGAGCGAAATACGCTGCTTTCAGCGACCGGTTGTTCTCCAGGTTCTGTCGCTTCAGCCAGCACTGAGGATGATCGGAGAATCGCTATCACGATTATCACCACCAATCATTTGCTAGTGTTTATGTAGCTCGAAAGCGAAAAGTCGAAACAATTTATGTGTTCCAGCGATCATTAGGTAGTAGGTGACGAATGATCGGTGTGATTCGTGTGGATTTCCATCACCTCAGGTAGTATCGCTCCAATATGTTCCATCGCCCACACTTTCTGTTTACGGTATCCGATTCGTTTGTGATTTTGCTTCACTTTTTCATTGTTTGATCCGTGCATGCACTTTGTCGTTATCTCTATGCTCCAATTCTCTGCCCATCATCCCCAGCGTGTTTTCTAGTCACCGATACCGTTTTGTTAAATCCCTTATTGAAGAATTAAGAGCTTTATGATGTCTTGACAGTGAAAATTTCCTTATATTATATTATGACCGCCGAGTCCTTGATAGATGATAAATTTATACGAATTATTTGTCAACATGTCAGAAACTTCAGGAACATGTTTTCTATCAACATGGAAAATTTACTTGCTATTTTAATTTTCATTTGGTATTAAGATTGAAGCCCGAGGGCGCCTGTCGTGCAGTGGTAAGAGGCAACACACACGTGGAATTGATACCCGCGCCCATGGTCCGCGAGACCCTTCATCCCTCTGCGGTCGGCAAATTGGTACCAAACTTATCTAGGAGGATATCAGCCATTATCATTATTAGGACCGTGAGTCATTGTAGAGGCCAGATATGCATTCAATCGCCTCCAAACGATGTCTAATGAAGTTGAATACATGGCGTATCCCTCAAGGATTGATCAACGCCGAGAGAGCTCTATCCTTTTATCTTTATTAAGACTGAAACGTGGAGAAAACTTGTCAGGCTGTGGACCAATAACAAACGAATGGGCGCTTTCCAAGCATTCTCTGAACATTCCATATATAAAACGGTTCACGAGGAATTGTTACATAGCATTCGCTCGTAGAAGTAATTTGTCAGCAAAAAAAACAAGTCACTTAAAAAATAAATTAGCCCTAATTTAAGACATCGTCACCGTAGTCGAGGAGTCCTCATAAGATCTCATAAAGATCTCTTTGCTGTATAAAATGAAGTAAGGAATGTGAATTTAAGTAGGCAATGTAGTCCCTTTTGTAAGTGACATAATCACATTTAGCAAATTACGTGGAAAGAGAATAAGACTAGCAAAAAGAGACAGATGTTGTGAAGTAGAAACTTGCGGCTGCAATTATGTCTTAAGTAGAGATGGAATGATACAAGTTTTCGGAGCTATCCATTCTCAGTCGAAGATTAAGATTTGTTAGCAAAAGCTGTGCTACCACCACCGAATATATTATTGGCGTGATCGGGTGCGGAACCGATGGCAAACGTTCGAAATCCGTAAGAACGCAGCTGACTTTGATCCAGAATCAGTCGCCCGTCAAAGACCGAAGCTGGATGTTGCATCATTGAGTAGATTTTTTTGTAGTCCAAAGTCTGAATAGTAATGGAAATTCTCACAAATAAACAATTTTAGATGCCCATCAAAAGTTCCAAAAAGAAAATACCACTGAATCAGAGATAAAGTGCGCAAGTCACTAGGAGGAGCAACACCGTATCACCTGTCACCTGTATCATCTGCAGTCCCGTTGATCGTCGAGTAACTCGAGCGGGCGCCACTAAATCTTACATTTTTGTTCCTCTCGCTCTAGGGACTCGTCGAGCATCATGTCCTGCTTCAAGGCTCTTTGTGAAGAAATCTGACCATCGGGTCTGTAGGCTTCCTGCAGT